GTTTAAAAGCAGCTGCTTGCTTGTGAGCATTCTGCTTTTAGTCCGAATAGATATTAAGAAAATGTGTGAGGGACGAAGGAGTGTGTTTCTTCAGTGTTTCAGGAAAAAAATGTGTGGGAGGAGAGATAATTTTGATGAGTCAAATTCCTAATTCCCTTCAGACCTTTAAAGTCAGTAGGAGTTGCTTCACTTTTATCTTAACATGCAAAGATGGGTGAAGTTAGAACAAAGGAAGGTGGAAAAAAACAAATGAGCTTTTTTATAAAGTGAGTTTAAGGAAAACCAAAAGAAACAACAGTGTTCTTGGTGTGAGGACAAAGGCAAAAGAAAACTATTACTCTGCATAACTTACTATTTATCTCGGAATACTTATTGAGGCCCAGGCTTCTGGGAAGTCCTCTGCCCATCTTTTTTCAATTTCCTCTGCTATGGTGACTCTTCTGGGCTGTAGCATGACACAAACAAAGCACAATATCCTCCAGGACTGATAAAAATACTGTTTAAGACCAACTTATGGTCCAGTTCTTCTGACTTTATCATTCCTTTGCTTCTCTTCACCCACTGCATCAAGGCACAACACTCTTGTTTTATTCCAAGACACTTCCAGGTTAAATCCCCCTATAACCATTCCCTCCTCGCAGTTGCTTTTGTCCCAAATCAAGCAAACCTGACTGTGCACTTCTCCCTCAAGCAGCAGCAGTCTCAAAACTTCTCACACTCTGTAAATTATCCATAGTTTGACCTCTCAGAGCATTCCATTGTACTCTTATTCCTCAGCACATAAATAATCTCCATGTTAGACTTCTTGCTTGTGACCTGCTCATTACATTTACAAAATTGCACACATGACAAACCTGCCAGTTTTCCATGTTTTTCTTATACAATGCCTTCTGCTTTCTTACCCTTTTAGGTCTGCTCCAAAACCCAGCTGATTACAGGGTAGGGGGGGAAATACTGATTTCCAAGGCTTTATGGATCAAGCTATCATTCCACCACTTTTCTGAGGCAGGAATTCACTACCTTTCCCAACATACCTTAAATTTAGTTCTCATCTTTCCCTAACTATAATTATGATAGTCAGCAGTTTTGCACCTTAAGTTCTGCATCAATGATCTGGGTGGTCCTGGGGTAGAAAACTTCCTTTAAAAGATCTGTGACAGATAATTTAGAAAGGTAAACCTGTTGTTAGGGTGTTTAAATTTGCCATAGAAGAGAAGATTCCTATAGATTCACAGTTCAAAAATCACAGTTGCAGATATTTGTAGATTGCCTGGTACTAAAAGGTTCTGACTTTAATAAAACCACCTGGATTCCACTGTAAAATAAACAGTAAAAATTATACTGTTCCCATCATCATGCTAGGCTACCATACTCTTATCCTGAGAGCTCCCCTGGCTTGAAGGAGCACTCTTTCTTCTGGAGAGCACTGAAGAAATAGCTTATACAGAAGGTGAGTCTATGCACAAGAGGAAAAAAAAAAAAGGCACTAAGGAAAAGCTAAGCAATAGCAATGAATCATGTATTTCAGTCAGAAAGCAGAGATCTCTAGTTTTGTTTATCTTCTGTGTGAACGAGTTCCCTGGTCTAGGTTCCTTTTCTTTTTCTTTTTTTTTTAAAGTCCCATCCCCCATCACAGCAAACCTCCTGCCCCAGCTGACAGTCTCATTGTCCCCATGGCTGTCCTGGGAAGTCATGATAGATGGCTACACCGCGACCCTTTTAGGAGGTGCGTGTTCATATTATGCTCAGAGACCTTCTTTGATCAATAGTCAATTCACTTGTGTATACACACAAATATATTTATGTTTATAATATACGTATGTATAAATAAGTGGCTGGAGAACTGTTAAGATGAGCACAACTACTTCGATAGATTTCAGCATTTTGGAACCCAAAGCAACATTATCTCATGAGTAAATGTGGTCATTTGCAGCATGTGCAATATTTTTTTAATATTTTAGTCAAAGGAAGAACAGCCAGAATATTTTCATTGTGGGGAGCACAGAGACTTGAAATAACTAGGTTTTGATACTAGCCATATTGCACTTCACTTTTCCTCAGCACAGAATGCCAGCTTGTTTCTTCAAATTAAGACAATATGCTTATAGTGATGAACCTTATTGGCCATCTATCTTCCTTTTGTAATCTGGCTCTCATCAAGCTGAAATGAAGCCATTTCTTCTGACTGTGGCTGATTAAACACAGAGTAAACCTAGATCTCTGAGGAGGCTCTAATGATTCTCCACAGGCCTAGTGTCAGCCCGGCACCTGCAGCATTCAGCTTCCCCATTTCCATCATAAAATGAAGCATCTGTTACAGAGAAGTGTTATCTTTTTATCATCGATGGTATCTTTCTGTTTGAATTCATCTAGCCCATTTGGTATAAATTACAGCCATTTCATACGTAATGAATGGTCACACAGGATGCACTCTGGTTATTGGGGGTTAAAAGGGCACAAAATCCTTTTACTAAACCTTTATTTAACTTGGTGAAAGTTAAGACTACATGGCTTGTGAAAAACCTTCTTTCTTACAACAAACAGGAGGAAACACTTATCACAGCTTAATGCTGAAGCATTTTGATATTGCTTATCTAAATAATGGCCTTTGAGTTTTTTGGAAGCAATTTCTGGAAAAACATTATTAGTTGCAGGGAAAAGAAACAGAGAAACATGCTCATGCCAAAGACATTTCTGTCTCAGTAACTTGATTAACTATAAGTCTGAAATGTAAAAGTAGACAAGATTTGTTTGCTAGAAAGGGTAGTTGCCAACTTAGAACCTGCTGTAAACCCCACGGAAGTCAATTGGCATATTTTCAATTATTTCAACAGAGTTTGTTTGGATCAGGCCAAAGATCAGCTAACTGTTTACATTTTGTGTGGTCCACATGCTCCTCTGTGTTTTACCTTCTTCGTTTTTCCATCTGAGCTGAAATAGGCAACTTTGTTTTAGAAATAATTTTCCACTGATGGGAATTTGGGGCATAACTTTGCCAAGCATTTCACTGTCTCCCACCTACAACATGGATAGTCTGGACAACTTCACATCTCAAAGAATAAAAGAAAAATTTCCAAAAGTGCTAATTCATAAGTAAAACTTTGCTCATTGCTCCTTGAAGTAGCAGTATAAGTGATGGGAACAGTTGTAAAACAGCTAAATAATTCCACCTATTAACATGTTGCTACAAGATGTAGAGATGGGGGCAATAATTGCACTCAGCCTTCCTGGTCACATGAATCCGATAGACCTTGTAACACAGCAACCACTTCAATAACATCTGAAGACTGCAAATAAGAGGTGGGTTTCTGTGTTTGATGTTGTCAATATACATAGTCTTCAGTGAACTAAAGAACAACATAGAGATATTTTAAAGTACTTTGCTCAGTTATTGGTATGAGACTATTTGAAGGAGACCAAAGATCGGCACCAGCTATTTCTCAGCAAATTCTTGGGGTGTTGAATCATTGAGATGTTAGCTTAAGCTGGGATAGGAAAGGCAGTTACAGTCCAAAACATTTCATTCCAGTTGTCATCCTATGCCATGCTCTGAACAGAATGTGCCCCACTGAAGTCACTGTGATCTACAGCCCAGCATAGTTCTGTAGTCTCCCCAGGCTTCACATTTCTCCTGTACAATGAGTGTTAATATGTTCTCCATCTCACCAGGATTGCCTGAGTTTCTTTCCCTCATTTCTGTTAACAAGTACAGAAGATGCAATGAACACAAAGTAGTATTCTCAATGTTCTACTGAATTACAGATGTTGAACATCAAAAAGGAAATTGTAATCACACACACACACAAAAATTGTAACTACAGCCTCTTTGGTGGATCATTTGCCTAGATATTTTTCATAGCACATTACAGGTGAAATAATTCTACAGCATAAAGGTAACTTAAAAACATGTATTTTATCATCAGTTTAAACTTTCAAGTACCTGTTATCTACAGAGAGGTGGGGGTTGCTTAATGGACTTCTTGGAGGGGGAAGAAAATCATCCTTGTGAAAATAAGGAAGAGTGAACAATTTTGTACCAACATGCATTCTCGTGGTCATTTTGCAAGCCTGCATTATGTGGCCACTTTCTGCTGATCTGTTTTGTAGCAAGCAAAATCATATTGTCCTACCACAAGAGCACACTTGTTATTCAAAATAATTAGGACATGAGTCATCTTATATCAAGGTTGGCATTAGTGATATATGGGGCTGATGAGTGATGAGTCCAATGAACATTTGACTCATGTAGACTTAAAATATGCAGCTGAAAAGCTCAGTTAATTCAGAAGAGACACAGCATAGCAGCGATAGCATCTTGTAAAAGCAAGATCCAAGACAAGTAGAAATGCAGTAACACTAGTGATGAAAACATCTGAGGTCTTTGGATTTCTCAGAACAGCTGAAAAATGGAATAACTTTTTCATAAATAAATTCAAAATTCATGTGTTTTCCCCTTGACAAGGTACAAAATGTAATAATTTTTTTTTCTACTGTTTACATGATATTTTTGTAAGTGCTTGAATTATTTCTGTTCCACATCCATTTCTTTTCATTTTTCCTTTTTGTTACTTTAGTTGAATAAGTGAATGATATCCAGAATTTCAGTTTGGTTTGGAAAAGCTTTAACAGCAGAAAGAAAAATGAAACTAACTCAACCACTTTAGAGAGCTTCAATTTTCCTTTGTTCGCTTCTGTAACTTGTCCAGAATTAAAGATTTGGAAGAGTTAGTTTGAAAATAGGAAAAACAGGGAGAAGAAGGATGAGGAGTGCAAAATGAGGAGAAAGAAAAGTGATGGGAAAAATCCAAACCACTACTCATTCTCTTAGAGGGGGGGAAAAATAAGGAAAGAGGTGTTTAATATTTATTTCAGACAAAAGATAGCAATAGGAAAATCTGAAAAGAAGCTTTTGGTTTATTCTCTTCTTGTCGATGATAACAACAATTTCCCTGTCAGCAACTGTCTAATTGACTAATACAGTTAAACATGTGGCAACTATTTTCAACTGTATTTAGCTAAGTCTGGCGCTGTATTTCAGACATAAGGAAGGCTTCCAATGCCCGATAGCTGTCTGGTTTTTCCAGCTTTACTATGGGATCTAACTGAAGGCTATTAGGTGCAATGGTTTTCACTTAGTTCAGAAAGTGACAACATTTGTATCTAAGTATGTTTTAGGAAAATACGAAGGTCTGAATCTGTGTCATACAATTCGTTTTGACTGTCAGCTTCTGCAAGGACTCCCTCTTGGTATCCCAGTCAAAAAGGTGCCCCAAAATCAACCATCTTCAAAGCTGCTTCATAGAGTGGTAAAACTAATAAGAGCTTGTATTTCAGCAGCTGGACACCCTGAGGGCAAACTGAAAGCAATCAGAACCAGAAACTCCAGTTAGTGTTTTCTTCCTCCATGGGACAACTTTGGGTGATGTGAGGATGCTCCCCACCTTTGTGCTAGATGCAAATGTTGACTGTCATTTGACTTAACAGGCTATAAAGCAGTGGAGACCATCACAAGCTGCATATTAACTGGTGACTATAAAATTTAAAGGACCTTGTTTCTATCTGACACCTCAGATAGAAACTTAATTTGCAATGGGTCAAAAATAAACATTTAAAGACTGAGAGAAGAATACATTATTATCTCCCCAGCAATTCCAAACACCAAAACATTTAATCACAAACTTAATGTTAAGGGATTTGAAATCTCTGGAACCAGTCTTGGGTTTATAATTAGGCATATAGCACAGTGCTCCCCTAGAAAAAAAAATCTGACCATTTCACCCCTCTTATTCTTTTTTTTTAAAATGACTCTTTTTAGCTTTAAAATCTATAGTGACACAATCACATTTGTGATCAAGTATCTTCTTGCCGTAAGATTTTTTTTCTTCACTGATTCATATGCTGCAGTATATATAGCCCATATATAATGCTGTCTGTAGAGGATCCATTAATGGACTGAGGCCATTCAATGCTTTTTTTTTTTTTTTTTTTTCCCAAGCCATCAAATCATTCTGTAGTTATTCTGGGAAAGAAGAAAAAAAAAAAACAGCTAGAATGAAATATCAGAGGTGGGTACCAACTTACATGATTGTGAAGAACAATATGTGAAAAATGTTGTGATCACCACAGATGAAAAAACTTTGAGATTAAATTGGTCTTTCACAGTAATATCAGTTTGCTTCATCAACAACAACGTATTTGGACAATGCACCAGTGTCATTGACTTTCACCATTTTAAAGGCCTTTAATACTGATTACTGCACAGTGAACAAAAGCTTTTCTTGTGAGAAGTCTGAAAAGGTTGATTATATGTACATTACAGCTGAAAATGGATCAGACAAGTAGTAAGTTATGAAAGTATGAACACAAGAGAATAAAACCATTCACTGGGCTTGAATTACTTTAGTTTATCTTCTTAGGCTGAATTGTGGCTGTGGTCTTTTGCAACTCAAATAAAAAGCATAGATCAAGATGAGATAAAGATAACTGAGTATTGCCAGCATTAGGCAATAAAATCAGTAGCTGGAATTGAAGAAAACTTTGATAACCACACAGAAAAATTTTCAAAAGTTACAGTAATACAGGCAGAAGTCCTCTGTAGCTGCTACAGCCAAGTAAATTAGGCATGAACACAATAAAAAGATACAAGCATTTGCTCTTACATTTCTTTATAAAGATGTTTGAACTGAAATTATTCTGGCCAGCTGAAGGGTCTCTGATGTTCCAGTTAAACATGTTTTGAAAGCTTCCAAGAGATGAGAGTGATTAACAACTTTCATATTAGGGTCCACAAAGGAGGGTAAAATTCATTCAAATTTCAAAGTTCTGCTTTACAGGGTTGGGGGGCAGGAAATACATTTTTTTGAAGCAGTTTGTTTCTCGAAAGAATTTTCCAAGATGCTTTAGAACCATGTTTCTTTCAATATCTTGTGAAGAAAATTAAGTTTTCATTCCTTTATACTTGTTTTAACATGAAAGAGACAACACAGCCATCACTGGAAGAATATCAGAATTCATGTTGGTAGCAAGAGCTCACACCTCAGGAGGAGCACAGTCTGGTCTGCAAGGCTGAGTAGAGTTTGCAGATTGAGCAGTCAGGAAAAAAAATCCAATCATTTTTCTCTAAAAAACACATTTTTGCTGTAAAAGTCACAATAGAAAAAGAGGGAAGCAACAGTGTTATACCTGTGAAACAAAGCTCACACTTTTTAGAACAAAATATCCTAAATTAAATTTTAGCCACTACGTTAAAGGGTCATTTCCAAAAGATGAAAGTACATTCTGTGGCAGTGTAAAAGGATAATAGAGGGCAAAAAAGAATTACAACACACTAGTATTACTGAAAAAAAGAGCATGAGTTGTGATATCCATGAAATGTTAAATTTTCCGCTATTCACAAGGCTCTGCATTCTTAATATCTGTAAAGAATGGTCATCTCAGTTGCTAAAATATAACCCAAACGCTCAAGCCACAGGGCTAAAATACTCTAAAGTAGCCACTACATCCAGCTGATTCTGCCATTTAGCACTTCTCCTGTAACATCAGTGGTGTAACCTTAGTCCCCAAAAATTGGAGGGCAAGTTATGCCATTGACCTCAGTCTGATCTGGCTCTAGGACACGCAACCGTGCAGTCCCTTGGGGCTACGAGCTATGGGGAAACTCCAGGGCTCTGGAAGATGGAAACAGCCCCAGATGCCTCAGCTGGAGGGTAAAGCCAGAGCTGAAACCTCTCCCTTACTTCAGGAGCCTGAAGCGGTGGGACCAGGTTTCCAATTTGTCCCAGCTTAGGCACACAAAAAAGAGAGAAATCCCCAATCAGTGCCCACCCGGTGAACCACTGAAGGGTGCTAGATGCAGCTTCATACACAAATAGCTCAGGTACACACTGGCTTCCCGGTGCTTACGTATGCTACGTGCAGCCTATTGTACAGAGAAATTCACGTGTGCATGTGTTTAGACACATTGCTTAGACACCGGACAACCTTGTATTAAATATTGCAGGATATGTGAGAACCCTCATGCTTTTTCACTAGAAATCACACGCTCCCATGTGCACATATATACCTACACATGTGCATACATTTTCATGCAACAACTGTCTTCTCAGCTACAAGCAAAACCTTGCTAACTGATGTTTGTTAAAATTAACATTTTTGCCAGTCAGAATTAGTCACACATGAAGCATCCTGAGCTTCAAGTAGGCTGTCTTAATTAAAGTTTTATCTGTCACTTAATGGAAGAATTATTATCAATTTTGATCACACTGCTTTTCTTTCAGATAACAGGAGTGTTACATCAGTCTTTCTGAATTTCTTTCTGATTTCACACACAGGCTGATTTATTTTACAGCGTTTTTACTGCATCCTAGGTCGTCTCAGACACAATGCTCTCACCCCACATACCACACAAGTCACACAAACAGGTGAACCCACAAAAGGAAATGGTGCTGCACATGCCAGATATTTTCATGAAATGTAATACCAGTTGCACAGCTTTGCTTTCCCTGCTTAAGACATTTTCAATTGCTAAAGGACATGAGTACCCCTTCTAGGGACAAAAGAAGGTTAATTTTTATTTTTTTTTTAATCAAACAATAGTTCAGTAACACTGATTTCTCTAAAGTATGGTCTATTGCCCTTATGCAAATTTGGAAAAACAGCACTGACATGAATGGAATTAAATCTGGAGTCATTCAAGAGCAGCTGAGATCCAAATTCCCAGGTCAGTAACATTTTGTTCCAGATTGCAAAACTTCTTGTTAGAACACAAACGTTCTTTTTATGAGAAGAGTTTAAATGAGTTGTTAGTGACGTCTTCACAGAGAGAGATGGAGAATTTATTTGTACTTTACAAAGAACCTCTTCCTCTCTTTAGAAGCACCAGTTGTTTTAATTTAAACTCAAATTAAAAGTTTCTTGCCCTGAGTCTGGTGTTGGAGACATAACTGTACATCATCTCTTTATCAATGTAGGAGTGCAATGGCATAAAGACCAATCACTCAAGTGAGACATAGCCTTGTATTGTTTTCCTCAGATTGCTAAAATTAATCCAGATTTACCCCCCACTCATCGGTAAGGGACAGTTAGTGCCCAATTCTTTCTTCATAACTGGGGAGCTGATCCAAATTCCAGGGAAGACAAGCCACTCTGTATATTTTAGTTGAAAAGAGTGGATTGGTAAATCAAAATCCCCCTTTTTCCAAACAGTCACAAATTCGTAAAGCCAAATCAAGTGACAATATGTCCCAGAAACTACATTGTCAACCAATACAGTGGCATAAATGAAGAATTATTTGGTGGCTCTTCTAAGCAATTCTTTTTCTCTCAAGAAAAATAAAAACAAAAACCACATAGCAGCCAATCTTCCTCTTGTGCCACACTGACGTCAGTAAACAGAGAAATCTACAGAATTCTCTTTAAAGTATTTTGGCCACATGCAGTGGAGCTTTAATAGGATCAGTCCTTTCCTGACAGGTCACAGTACGTTGACTAAGTTTAGTTACACTTTATGATTTCAAAGGCTTATTCCCAAAAGATATCCCCCTCTCCCTTCTTTTTTTTTTAAGAGTGCAGTGATCAAAGTGCTTTTAAAAATGCTATTCATGACTACTTTGAGTTAGAAAATGAAACCTAATGCGATTCCAAGCAGAATTTCATTTTAAGTGATACAGAAATTTCACATGACTGTTCAGCTTCCACCATTCAACAACTATAGGTAATAAACAATTGGTTATTTACCGTTACTTATCAAACTGAAGTTTAATATGTGAATAGTTCCATCAGCATGAAATGATACCACACACATGCCAAAAACAGTATGTGCTCAAGAACTTTAGACCAGCAAAAGGGTGTTGGGTACTCTGCAGAATTAAGCCAACATGATACAAGTGAAAGAGCCGTCTTCTTTGGTTTAATTACTATAATTTTATTCAAGCTTTGAGTTGTATGAAGAAAAGTTTTTAAAACTGGCAAGTTTAATTATTGTATGTGAAAGAGAGAAAGAGGAATATTTCCACCAATTTCACAGGCTACCTCAAGCATGTAACACTCAATACAGCCATATATATACAGGACTCCACATAGATGACTTCAGTCTCCACACCAAGTTCATATTTTGATGGTATTATCTAAAATACCCACCCAATGCAAACTGCATGTTTACCTTGGAAGGAAGCTGTTTCTGCCAGGATTTAAACACACTGTTCCCGGGGATTGCATGTTTTCCACGCTTTATGCTCAGACTACCAAACTTCCTGCACCGGCATTCATTACATGGTCCAGTAGGAGTTAAGAGCAATTTACCTCCCCCCCAAAAAAACAGATTTTTGTTCATTTCACCACTTTTTATGAAATATAGGGCTTCTCCAGGGGGCCAACTTCTGTTTATAAGTAGTAGTATATAACAACGTAATATTCCGGGCACAGTGACTGCAAAGGTACACTCATCACATACAAAAGGTTGTTACCAGAAAACATTGTCATTCCTTTGTTATCCTTGGAAAAATGAAGGGGAAAACCTTGTTAACTGTTACAGCAGAGAGTGGAGAACCGCTCGCATTTGTGCCGCTGATTCTCCTCAGTTTGGAGGCTGGGAAGTTAATGTATTCAACTCCTTTTTAACACCAGTCTTCCCTTGCTGTTATTCATACAACTTAACTCCAGCTGCCTCCTCCTCATCCCTCCTGCTTTGCCTCATGCTTCTCAAAAGGCATTTCTCTGCATGGCACATCAGAAACTAAAAATCTAAGTTGCTATCTTACTTCCAAACCGAGCTGTTGTTAGCATTAAACCTACACAATGCTTTACAATATAATCCATTTACAGGGTGTCTTATCATGCAAATAACTCAAGGTGCCTCACAATAAAATAAAAAGGACGAGAGGAATAAACCTCAGCCATTGGAACACACAAAAAAGAAACCTTGAAATTTACTTTTAAACACACTAATGGCTCTTTTCTCCCAGTGAGGCATGAAGAGGGACAGGGCAGAGGATTTGACCAAGGAATTCCTATTAGCATTTG